ATTTTAAATACCTTTGATGAAAATCGACTAAGTTTAGTCAATGTTAGACAACATGCTAGTCATAGTCAGCATGCTAGTGACAGCATTTCATCTAACATCTAACACGTTTTGGCTAAGGTTAGGAATACACTGATTATGGTTGGACATAAATACAGTTACTAAAATTTATGGAAGTCGATACAAAGTCATAATATGAAAAAAAAAAGAAGAAACGCTTATGTGTGTGTGTGTGTGTGTGTGTGTGTGTGTGTGTGTGTAGCAGCAGCCACAAGGTGACACTGTAGTACACAGTTTCAGCAACTAAACTCGCCTCTGTAGCTGATCCTATCTTGGTGTAGGGAAACGTCTTTCGCTTTCGGTATTTACATGTCAGTATTATTTTAATGCTTTTCAAGTTGTGTGTTGGCGTGTCTTAAATCTATTTAAAGAAATTTGCGCAGGAAGTTTTTAAAGCTGTTAATTTGGCCTCTTAAGTGAGGAAAGGAGCGAGGATCTGATGGACTACCAAATGAGGGGTAAAACTGGACCAGGCTTCCTCCTGACAATCTGCTTTGATCTCCCAATCTCCCCTGTGATATCGAGCTCTGGGAAAGCCTCCTTCACACCTTGTAGCCCTAAAGCAGAAGAGGCAGGGATGGGAGGGGGGTGGGGGGCAAGCTTCTCTGCAACCTCCACATCTTCCTCCTCTTCACTGCCCATCTTTTTCACTTTCTATACCCAGACATTCACCATCCACACCCACACCGGACTCGCTTTTGAAAATCCAGGACCTGATTTAAAATTCTTCTTCAGAGCGAGTCATGCATTTTATATGCATGGTGAGAGCCGGAGAGGAGGTGGAGGAGGGATGGAAGGCGGGAGAGGGGCGTCTTCACTCCAAATGAACTTTCCTCTGCTGTTGGTCTCCTCGGGGATATTTCTGCGCACACACAAGCACACACACACACCCATCACAGTTTTTTTTTTTTCCCCCCCCCAATCTCTGCTTGGCCCTCATTTTCTTGTGCCCACTTGACTCTTTCAACATTAGGTTTTACTGCATCATGATCTGCACAGATTCCAGCGAGCAGCGAGAGGGTCCGCAGCCTTTGAAGACAAGTGTGATCAGAGCAGAGGCAAGAGGGTGTACAAAAACCTGGCCCGGGGGCATTTGTGAAGGGGGGGGGGGGGGTATTTCTGCACTCTGGTGTTTAGCAGCCGAGGAGGGGAAGGCTGACAAGTGCAGCAGCGTTTGGGGACAGCTTTGATGTCTGCTGCCGCTGCCGCTGCTGCTGCTGCTGCAGTCCTTCACAAGGAGACAGTCGCCTTGACACGATCAGGCTCACGCAGGGCTGTGATAGATGTAACAGATAATCAAAAGAGTGTAGCTGATGCGCCGCTCCTCACCTTTGAGCATCTCTAATTCTCTCTCTCTCTCTGCCTTGTTGACTTCGCTCCGAGAGGCAGCTGAGAATCAATAAAGACAAACACAACACGGAGCTCGAGACTGCATCTGCTGGAGAAATCTGATTTATTAGGAACAATATGATCCCACTAGCTTATTGTGGATATAGCAGTAAACAACAGGAACACGATTCACTTTCTCTTTTAATAAGTGCTACAGGTTTTTGTATAGATTATAGACAATGAAACAGGACAGCGACAAGAGTGCTACATTCATATATGCACAGAGGTTATAAAAATTACAGTATATTGCTGTTAAAAGTTCTTCCTATTCCTGCGCAGGAATCGCCCTCTGTTTCATACAAACACACGCATCACTCTGTGAGCCGTGGCGGTTAAAAAGGAGGAGGTTTAGGTCTGGCATTTGACATTTTACACATTAGTTATTGTGTGAGCACGAAGCTGATGAAAGTGAAGCGGCTATAGTACAGTTACACTACACAGAAACCTCTCAGTGAGCTGAAGACACACTGCCTTGCAAAAGCATTCCTATGCGTTGAATTATTATTATTATTTTATTTTTTTTCACATTCTGACAAAATTGCAGCCACAAACTTCTATGGATTTTATTGGGATTTTGTGTGACAGACCAACACAGAATAGAGCATAATTGGGAAGTGGAGGAAAAATGATGCATGGTTTTCAAAGTGTCTTGTGCATTTGTATTCCCCAGCAGTAATAGGTATTTTTCAGCTTGTCTCTCTACCAGCTTTCCACATGTAAAATCTTACCATTTGGCCATTTATCCTTTTTTAACATAGCTCAAGCTCAGTCAAAGAACCTCAGTACAGATGCAACGCCCCCAGCACGTTTCACCGTGGGGATAACGTTTCCACTCTGTTGTTTAATGCTATTGTTTTGACGTCATAGCGTTTTGCATGACCTAAACTAGTTCATCCAAGCTCTGACTGCAACTTTTAGTGTTGCCGTTCTGCCGGAGAGTGAACTTCTGACCCAGTATTAACCTGCTTTCCTCCAGGATTGACATACACTAGCTCCATCCAGCTTTACCATCAATCCCAACTAGCTTCACCTGTAGCTTGTCACATGCTGTAGAAGTTTAGTTTTGGTCTCATCTTCCACATGTTTTCTGTTTCCTGTACGCAGCAGAACTTTATACATGATTTCTCATGGCTTACTTACAACAGTGACTTTTGACTTGTCGCTCTACCTCAAAGGCAGCGTTTTTAGCGTGGACAGCTAACAGATGCTCTGACGGCAGCTCTTCCACACAGCGAGCCTCTTCAGTGCCTTTCTGCTTAATGCTCTTCCATATCTTTGTAGGTTTGCACTCACGTCAACCTCCTTCTTTTTTCAGATGATGGATTGAGGAGTGCTTTATGATGCGTTCGGTGCTTTGAATGCTGTCTTATAAGCTAACCCTGCTTAAAAGTTCTCCACATTTTAACCTTTGACCTTTCTGGTGTGTTTCTTGATTTCCGTGATGTGTGTTCATAGAACAGCTGCTGACATTACATTGTATTTTATTTGTTGGCATCAGAGTAAAAGGGGCTGAATTTCACACACACCGCAGTTTAGATTTTTCTTTTCTTTTTTTTTTTTTAATGTTACATATCCTGTTCTGCACTACTCCGTCTTGGTCTATCCCATAAAATCCCACACAAAAAAAAACAACAGACTGTATTCTGACAAAATGTGAAAAAAGTTTTGCACGGCACACAGTATTCTCTGTCAGATACCTTTAAATTAAAGACCAGTACAAGTTTACTTTGGTTTCCAGCTCTCTACACATGTGTACTGTGAAGTTGTGGCAGTTTAAGCTGTGAGGAATCGTTTTAATCTTGACAGCATAGCAGCCTCGAAGCCGACATCAACGCAACACAAAGATTAATTTCTACACTTTGTTATATTAGCAGCCAGGAAACGATGTAGTTTACAGTGTGATTCCATAGAAAAAGAAAAAGAAAAGTGACTAGTTTTATTCTGAAAGTCTGTAATCTTGTACCTTGAAATAAATTAAAGAAATGTAGCTTTATTCATTGTTATTTCTTCTCTATAGCCTGTCGTATTATAAATACAGTTACACATCATGGGCATCTATTGTGTTACGGTTGACTTTCATCCATGCAACAAAGAAACTGGAGATTTTCTAAGACAGAAAATTAAAATTCCCACTCCATTAAAAGGCTGGGAAGAAGCGTCCAACCAAAATATTTTGGGGACTTGGAATTTTCCATCAGACTGCAACACAAGACAAACATCAATAAAACAGGCTGAAAGGAATAAAAATCAATCCCCCGGATGCTTTCGGAGGACGGACATAAAAAAGGGTGGGGAGACAGGAGGGGGAACAGCTCAGGTTCCAACGACCAGGAGTCCACGACCGAAATGCTGCTTGACTTGATTTCCACCCAGTCACATGTGGCCACGCGAGAACATTTCTCAGTCAGTCCACGTCAACAGCTGTCTGTGTCAGAACGGATTCATTATTGAGTTACTGCGGGGCGGCAGCAACTGGAGGGACACACGTGTCGCCTGAAACCTGGCCGAGACCAGACCAGACAATCGGACCCCGAGAGGAGTCTGTGAGGAGAACCACGAGCGGTCACAAAACTCTTGAGTTGTTTGTGCTAATAGTAAAGCTATAACTCTAACAGAGCGGGTGGTCTACTTCACATTACACTGCTTGAGGGAATGAGCTCTTAAAATTGTCTGGTTAGACATCGGAGGCCCAAGAAAGCAACATTTATTGTACCTCTAACTGATTCTCTCTGTGCGCTCGGCTGCACGTTTCCCTCAGGACACTCGGCAACACACCTTCACGCTTTATTTTATGCTCCTTGAAAACACACACACACACACACAAACACGCACGCACGCACGCACGCACACACACACACACACACACCTCCTTATTTGGTTTGGCATGCAAGAAAAATAAAAACCCAGCACAAAAATCAAGGAGCTTTCAGCTGAGCTGAGCTCAGACTTCCTTTTCCTCCATTACAGACCCAGAGAGAGAAAGAGAGAGGGAGAGATAGAAAGAGTATAGTGGTGCAATGTGTTCACCTGAGCTGTGTGAGAAGTGAAAACAGTAGACACACACTGTGCTGGCTGCAGTGAGCTGTTTCCATTACACACTCTGAGCAGCTGTTCTGCAGAAGTTCTTTGAAGGACGGCTGTAGGGAGGTAACTGGAGTCCACAGCTCAGACTGGGTCCTTCATCCTATAGCAAGGTTAGGTGGGGGCGTTGGGGTCTGCTGCGTCTTCATCACCGAGCCCTCCTAACACAGGTCCCACACTTCCGCACACCCTGCTTGTGTCTATACTCTACCATTCAAACGTTCATGCAATAAACTAGTACAGAAGCAGGCAAGAAATGAAATAAAAAGACGTGCATTCCTTGTTCCTCCTCAGCCGCAGTCAGCTTGGTTTTCTTGCTCCTCGAATGCGTCTACGGGCCGCGCCTCTGGTTCCCTCTGCTGTTTTTTTGATTCGTGTCTGTTTTGACAGAAGGGGGCATGAGGAAAAGAAGCGTTCACAGAGATGCTTTGAAGAGGGCCAGAATCAGTCTGAAGGTTGTCTCTGAGGGGGTCAGGGGCATCTTTGAAAACAGGAGGCGCAAGAAATAAAAAAAAAAAAAAAAAAAAAGGAGGGGGAAGAGGGGGGCTCTGAGAAATAAAGATGAGCCTGGAGGAGTCAGGAGATGGAGAGAGAGAGAGATACTGTTCACTTTTGTGCAAGGTACGCTCCGATGGTGACGCTGGCCGCTCCGAGTGCAGCCAGACCAAAGACAGTCTTGATGGACGGCCAGTAGCAGCTGAAGACCGACTCCTTTTGTCTGTCGTACAGTTCCACAAACGCATCCTGGAAGAGAAACAAACAGAATACGAAGGTTTATCCGGATGCAAAATGAAAGACTTTGACCAATACATGAGGCAATCCATGCTCTCATCGTCTTTGGTTCAGTTGCAAACTTAAATACAGCTACAGGAAAAAAAAAAAAGCACAACAGTGAGGAAATATATTTTAAGCATTTTCCCAACAACTGAAGGTAAAACAGTTACTTGATTGCACTATGCGCCTGGAAAATACATGATAACACCCCTCTAAAAAAGTTTGTGGCGGCTCTAGAGTTCTGCAAATCCACTCCCATAGGAACAAGTTTTGCTTATCTAGCATTTTTGCCTTTTTTTGGTGCTTCATTCAATTCTTTTGTGTGAAACAGAAGTCTTCATAATCAGGGAAAGCAAAACGTCCTTGTACGAATGGCAACAAAAGTAGGCGAGACAGATTTCTTTTTTTTTTCCTTTTCTTTTTTTCAGAATTACCCTTTAAAAGGTAAATCCCCTGCCGCTACCAGACATGGGTGGAAATAGAGTGTTATTACACCCATCTTGAAGAGAGATCCATTACACCCGCCTATGCTCAGGCTCCAAGAGAGATACCCAGAAGCAGGCTCCAGCCAAGCCAAACATGGGAGTCACCACAATATAACACCCCCGGCATAAAAATATATTGTTACTCTGCGGGGTTTAAAGAAGCAGGCTGCAAATTAAGAGCATGTGCGTGTGTGGAGCGGATGCCTCTGCAGCATGTCTCAGATGAGGAAATACAGACGTCTGCTCATGAGCAGTGACGGCAGGAACAGCTGGACAGGAAGTAATGGTGCTAAGCTCTCTGCTGTCCAACACACACACTCCAAGGCAGATTATCTTTAACCAAAGTACAATAGGCTACATTTCAGAGGTTTAAGGGAGGAAATGCCAGCAGCACCCTTTCAGTATTCTTTTTTTTTTTTTTTGTCACAAGGCCGACCACATGAATCGCTACATGGCCAAGCCGTTACAGCTGAGCGGATCTGATGTCTCTCTTTTTCGGCTGTAATTCGACCTGTCTGTGAACAACGGTGAATTGTTAAGTTTGATTCTTTGCAACAATTGCTGTGTTAGTTCCCGTGGGAATTTGTTTGTCAATATAATCACGTCAGTTTGCTTTACAGTGATTATGTTTTATGCTGCTTGGGAGAACTTTTTTTTTTTTTTTTCCCCCCTCTTCACCCTATTCCAGAAGGTTCATTCATTACGGCTGAATCACAGAATTTCTTAGAACGAAATAAAAAAAAAAAGAACGCACTACGCTAATAAAAGGAGACCGAAGTGCTGTGGGGAGACAAAAGTATTTCCTGTTTCCCTTCCCATTCTGTGGCATTCCTGAGGCCGGGGTCTGATGACACAAGGGAGGAAGAATCAGCAGAATCCTGCAAGCTTAGGCCCTCTGCTGTCTTTAACTGCAACAGGGTCTTTTTAATTATCCAAGCAAAATACCAATGTCAGCATGTTAACACCCACAGAGGGAACGGCATTATTCAGCAGTCATCAATACATGAGGGGTCACTTTAGTTCAAACTGCTAACCATTCAGCTTCAAACTGATGGTGCACCACTGTCAGACATCAACGTTTCATTCATTTAAGGCAGCAAAAAGTTACAAAGACCTCCTGACAAGCACAATGCTGCCATACTTTACAGGCGAAAATTTCACAAACTTGCAGACTGGTTGGTGCCGTTGCTTGTGGAAATTGGAATATTGGTTTGTATGTCTTTAAAACAAGTACAGTTAACGCCAGGTAGACTTTTTCAATAGAAATAAATAAATAAATAAAAGAATAAAAAAAATGTAAAGTCATTCATTATTAAGTCATTCAATTTCAAGGCAGAATCGTTACAAAGCACTAAAGGACCTTTTTATGAATGTAACATATTTTTATTGTTATATTTGACACAGAATCATATGCCTATTTTGATGGATGGATGGATAGATGGATGTTTCACTTTACAAATAATAAATTAATTTATTTTTTGTCAAGCATAAAATTGAGCTTTGTTTTTAGAACAAATAAATGAGGTGAATATACCAAAATCAAAATCCCAATTATGTACATTTTAAATCCATTAGAAGATAATCTTAGGTTTCCACTTTCAGTTCGGAAACACTTTCCCCACCTAGTTCACTAAAATGACACTCGACTGAGGATACAACTCATATCCAGCATGTGTGCATGTGACTGACCACCAGCTCGGCTCAACAAAATAGCAAGCTCATGATGAATGTCCTTGAGAGGCCCCAGACAGTCGCCATAGATTCTATTTAAGTCTAAAACAAAAGAAGGCCAATTATAGAAAGGGGTTCACCAGAGATGTGATGGGAGTGTGAATAAAGCCCCAGAAGGGCGTGGATGGTAATGACTCCAAACTAACTCCGGGGAGAGAAGGGAAGCTGAGGCAGAGGAGAAGGGGAGGGATGTCAGGTGAGTATCATGGGACTGAGACATGCTCCACTTCAGCTCCTGGAACTTTTTTTCACCCACACGGCAATGTTTCCAGCAACCATGTGAGAAAGGAGCAAAACAAACCGTGAAGCTTTCCCTTTCTCCTCCGTCCCTGTTCCTTCTGCTGCACCAAAGGGCATTATGTTAATGCAAGCCTTTGAAAAAAAAGAAAAGAAGAAGAAGCAGCGATAAGCAGGTGGAGAACAGCACGCTGAAATTTGACAGGGACACGAACAGGACAATACATCTGCATTACGACAAAAGCTCCCGCGGCAAAGCCCCGCCAGCGTCAGCAGCAGGTGTGCGTTTGGGATACAGAGTCCAAAACAGCAGCCTTTCAGAGTCTTCATTTTTTGGATCAGTGGCTTTTAAAAGGTCACAGCCAGCCAACAGAGAGCAAGAAGCCAAGAAGAAAAATGCCTTCCCAGGTTCGTATCCCGCCCCTTTCTTCACACACAATGAAACCCTCTGAGACGCTCGTATGGACGTAGCTGTGAGGAGTTGACGGGGTCACCACACTTCTCCGCAGGCTGGAAACAGGCCGCTCATGTGTCATGGTTACCCAGACTGGAAGCTCCGCGCACAATTTGCTTTTCCCACCAGCGGGACAGATCTCGTCCTTAACCTCTGATTTGTTTTTCACATGCTCGGCACCTCTGGGTTTTGTTTGGTGTCTTCCTCGTGGACACAAAGGGATTTTCTTCCTCGGATTGGTCGGATGCTGTCTCACGGGGCGACAGGCATACCAAACATTTGCCTGTTCCTGTGGGGTGTTCGCTGTGCTTTTGAAAGTAATCCCTCAACCTGTTCGGATAATAATGATTCATCTTGCGCGCTTGTCTAGCTCTGTTAAAAAACAAGCAAGCAAACACACACACACACACACACACATACATACACACACACACGCACACACACAAGCAGTAATTTGCCAAAGCTGTTAAAATGATTAGGTGTCCATCTCTGTTTTGTGACGTTTCTGTGGGCTGGAGGAGACGGAGTGAAAGGGATGTGGGTTAAAGTTCAGTTTGTAATTAAGGAGCCTGTTGTGGCTTCGCTGCTATATCCGCCACTGTACCAGGCTTCCCCGCATGTTCTGTTTATTTTCAATTCATTCACCTAGCAGGACACTTATAGGCCGATATTGCACATGCTGCCTCCCACGGCACCTCTTTGATTTTTTTTAATGAGCTTCTTGGAGACTTCTTCTCACCTAATTAGAGTCAAACAAAACTCCCTTTTGAAGTTCCAAAGAGGGGCATAAAGGGGGGTGAAAAATGCCAGGAAAGCATTAATGTCCTTATAATTCATAAGTTCAGATCAACATATCTATTAATACGTTTAGCTTCATCTCAATATAGCGTATGCACATTTACAAAAAAAAAAAAAAGAACGAAATCCCTCACTAGACACGAGGGGCGACTTGTCAGCTGCTGCTTGTCTGAAAAAGGTCAAATAAATCAATTCCCCAGGGAGCCCTTCACAGACTGGCCCCAGATAAAAATTTGAGATGACGGTGGAGTTTGTTGCAACACTCATTACCCGATGAATCCCCTTGTGTCAGCAGCCACAAAACAGCTTGCAGCAGCGGACAGAGAGCCCTTCGCTGACCTGTGACAATACTGCAATCCGTGGAAACAATGGTCAGACAGCCAAATGGTGACAAAGTGCACTGGGGAGCGCAGCACATCATCTGTGCAAAGAACGTTAACGGATCAAACCAGAGGACAATGCTAATACAGTAGCTCAGTTTAGCAGGATATGGCCATTAATTAATCGCCCAATTGGCATGATAATTTTTTTCATTTGATTTTATCTTGGTTCAACAAAACAAAAAATGCAAGAAAGGAATGGAAGAAGGAATGAATGAAACTGCAACATGTTCATTGGGTTTACAACTCGGTGCAAGTTGTAAACGCAAGGTGAATCGATTCGGTGCCATCTAAAGGTTGTCATGGAGATCTGAACATGCAGTCCAAACATTTTATTGACGTTGGGAGGGCGTAGAACCGTGTCCCCATGTATTTTGTTGGAGGTGCTGCTGGATAATGGGGTCCTGAGATCCATTTTACAAGCTACCCAGTCCTTTTACGTCCAGAGCAAGAGCTGCGTGAGAATTTTCTTCACATAGCAAAGGTCACTTCTCCAGTGAGTCCAGTAGGAACCGTCGTCACAGATACTATTTGAGATAATCGTGGACAGAATTTCATGCGGGTCTCCTCTTTGCTTTTCGCAGACGATGAGGTTCTATTGGCGCCTTAAGCCATGACCTTCCGTTTGGATCCCAAACTTTCAAACCAACAACAAACACAACTTTGTGTTTCAGTAGTGGTCAACAATTGAGTTAACATTGTTGGATTTAGGATAAATTAGTTCTTATAAATGTCTTATAAAGAGGGATGTCCGCCTTTATCTCTCAACCCGCAGCTGGACAACACCGTCTCCATTTCTAACCAGGACTTCTTCAGTTTTTTATTTTACACTTTGCTTTTGTTTTCACACTTTGTGGTAGGCGATTACCTTGCATTTATGCACAT